CGGGACCTGGATCCGTCCTGGTTCAGTCCGTATGCGGTGCAAAAGTCCGGCATCGCAGTCACTGAAGTCACGTAAACGGGGAACGGTCGTTATCCGTTTTTTCCATTCTTCATTTAAACACAAAATCGAAAACTTTTGGTTTTGGAGACAAATAACAAAGAAAACTGTTGTTTTTTTCGTTTTCTTATTTTTGGTTTTATATTGAAAAACGAATGAACGAATGATACACGGATTCATCACAACAATGAGATTTACTGATTTATTTATTTTTTTTTAGATTATGCAGAATTGATTTCAGCATTTTGTGCTCCACAATATTTTCTGATTCTCATGTGGCCCCAGAGAAAAAAGACCCACCGACCCCAGAAGTTACATTACAATACACAGAGAAACATACACATGTACACATGTGCATATGTGAGTACTTTGCTGGTGCACAAGGAGCAGGTAGAAGTTTAGAAAACGTCTGGAGTCTCCATTCAGCGTCACATGGGCCTGTTATCCCATAAACTGTGTAAAGTGGATCAAATGAGTGTGACGTCACCAGGCACTGGAGGCCGCGGGCTCCGAGTTTGGCCCCAGCAAACAGGGACAAACATGTTGGAATTATGCCCATGAATGTCATCACAACCAACGAACCAATCCAGAGCGAAGCTGCTGAAGCTGGAAAGCTCCAAAAAGTAAAAATAAGGTTAGAAGACAAACTGCAGCCTGTGCTGGGAAAGTTCATTTTCTACATGAACTAATTCAAAGTTCAGTTCACAAATTCCAAAATAAACTTGTTGGTTCATAGTTCATAATTGTTAATAGTTAATAGTTTGTTCATAGTTCCTGTGGGAGCCTAAACCCAGTTTTTATTTTTTTTTTCATTACTGAGATAATTATTCTTAATGTGTTTGATTTAATATTTACTTAAAATGCATCATTTTTGGTATTTTGGTCATTCTTTATGGACATGATTATTTGTTGATTATTTGTTACAACATTATTTGGTCTATTTTCATTTTTCTTTAACATTAGCAATAATTAATTGAATCATAAGTTTACTTAAGTAATGTTTATTTTTTGTATTATTTTGTGGTTATTTTACGGCTCCTTATTTAAGACGTGTGCAGGTGCACCAGGACAGGGTGGAGTGGAGCCAAACAGGTTTTTGACCTCCTGTCACTTGTACGTTAAACTTCCCCTTTTTGTTTGTATTTGTATTTGTATTTTTATGTCCTAATAATGTGAATCTTCAGTAAAGAGTTTTTAAACTGCACTTGGATCACTGTGTCAGTGTGTCATTTTAAATTTGCTGTTGATGTGATGAAGTGTGGAGTTTCTTTTTGAAAGCCGGCAGGCAAAGTTTGCACATAAATTAGGTTCTTCGCTCCTTGACTCTTTTAAATGTTCATATGATGAGTTTTTGTTGCTGCTGCTACAGTCGCCTCCTGCTGCTTTTTTATTTTGTCTCGTTTCGGTGACAAATGCGGCGACGCGACGCTGGAAGCTCGTGTTGTTGCCAGATTAAATTTTTCTTTTACTAAATATTGCGAGCTCTTTACGGTGTGTTTAGTCGGGTTTTCGTCTGGAACACTAAAGAAATCTGGTCTATACTGAACGAAGTTAAATACACAGTGTGTTCAGTTCATGTTCGTTCAGGTGCAACGCTGACGGCAGCTGCATATATTTACAGAGTTATTTAAAGCTACTCAAACTACTGTATCTACTTGTGCAGCTGTGGCTGAAGGGGTGCCTGGGTGGCGGGTGGGTGCTGCGGATGTGCCTGGGTGGCGGGTGGGCTGCGGATGTGGGTGCGGTGGGTGCTGCGGATGTACCTGGGTGGCGGGTGGGTGCTGCGGATGTGCCTGGGTGGCGGGTGGGTGCTGCGGATGTACCTGGGTGGCGGGTGGGTGCTGCGGATGTGCCTGGGTGGCGGGTGGGTGCTGCGGATGTACCTGGGTGGCGGTGGGTGCTGCAGATGTACCTGGGTGGCGGGTGGGTGCTGCAGAGGGCACTCGGGGGGTGGCGGTGGCGGCAGAGGGGGGGCACTCGACGGGGAAAGCCGCCTCCACCACCATCTTCACGCTGCGTCTCCCCGGGGTGCTGTAGGTGTGGGTGATGGTCTCCCGGTGGGTGACCAGCTGGTTGCCGTCCCTGAAGTCCCAGAGGAAGTCGACGGAGGCGGCGGTCTTCAGGTACTCGCTGGGGTCGTGCAGTTTCACCTGGAACAGAAGCTCCTCCCCCTGGAAGAACACGCCGTCGGACATGTTCACCGCCGACTTCTGAGACAAGCTCACGGACACCGGGATCTTATCTGAGGACGACAAACAAACAAAACAAAAAAAAAACAGGCAATGTAGAAATCAGGCGAGATTATTTGTTTTTTTGTCTGAAATCTGAAATGATCGCTCTTTCAACACTCTGCAAATTTGTCTTTCTTTTCTTAAGATTTATGACCTACTCATTAGTACAGAAGCCGAGAGCCACAAGAGAAAAAAAAGCGGCACATCATTTG